GTCCTAAGAGTTTTCATTACAGGTAAAAACTTTTTTTTCTTTTTCTTTTACTTTATTTTTTGTAGCTATATGAGATGATAGATGTTAACTAAACTTACATGGTAATCATTTCACAGTATACGTAAGTAAAATCATTATGGTGTATACCTTAAACTTACGTAACACTATATGCCAGTTACTACATCTCAGTAAAACTCGGCTTAAAAAAAGGAAACATTTTGATATGCATAATAAGTGTCAGGACAGTTGTACAAATAATGGCGCCTAAATAAATCTTAAAACAGCAGAATATGTCGGCAGTACAGTACGATGTGGATAAAAAAATCAAGTTATTTCCATAAAAATAAATGATAAAAATAATTTCAGTGAATTAAAATTGAAGTGGATAAACTAGATTATCTTTACTGTGTTATATCTTTTTAAAATTGATCAATTAATTTAAATGTCTCATTAAGTTATCTTTGAAAAATATATTTGCAACAAATATTTTTAGTGTTTTGTATAATTCCGATTTCAAGGTTTGATTAGGCACAGAATCAAAACATTGTGTTTGATCAAAGTTGTCTCAGTTAAAATGGCTGGGACAAAAAATCAGAGTCAAAATGGAAGATTAAACATGGCAAGACTAAATTTTCCTGTGCTCACTTCCCTGTATTCGTACTTTTTTAATAAAATATATTTACTTGATATAAAACACACATAACATAAAATTTACCACCCTAACCTTTTTACGTGTACATGTCATTAAGTACACTTTAAGTGTATTAAGTGCACTCATATTGTTGTGCAACCGTCACCACGATCCATCTGCAGAACTCTTTTCGTCTTGCAAAACTGAAACTCTGTCTCCATTCATCAATAACTCCCCATCCCCCTCCTCCCCACCCCTAGTGAACACCATTCTACCTACTGTCTCTAGGAATCTGGCTATTTCAGATAACTCAATAAGTGGAATCACACAAGGTTTATATTTTTGTGACTGGCTCATTTCACTTGGTATAATATCCTAAAGGTTCATCCATGTTGTAGCATGTCAGTTTTTCCTTCCTTTTTAAGGATGAATAAGTATGCCATTGTACATATGTACCACATTTTTTTATCCACTCATCCCTGGACAGATACTTGGGTTGCTTCCATGTTTTAGCTATCGTGAAAGACGATGCTGTGAAAATGCATGTTCAGATATGTCTTCAGTGGGGCCGGCCCCGTGGCATAGTGGTTAAGTGCGTGTGCTCCACTGCTGGCGGCCCGGGTTCGGATCCTGGGCACGCACCGACACACTGCTTGTCAGGCCATGCTATGGCAGCGTCCCATATAAAGTGGAGGAAGGTGGGCACGGATGTTAGCTCAGGGCCAGTCTTTCCCAGCAAAAAGAGGAGGATTGGCGTGGATGTTAACTCAGGGCTGATCGTCCTCACAGGAAAAAAAAAAAAAGATATGTCTTCAAGACCATGCTTTCAATTATTTGGGGTATATACCCAGAAGTGGAATTGTTGGATAATATGGTAATTCTATTGTTAATTTTTTTGAAGAACTTCCAAACTGATTTCCACAGCAACTATACCATTTTACATTCCCACCACAGTGCACAAGGGGTCCAATTTCTCCACATCTTTGCCAACACTGGTTCTTTTTCCTTTTTTTTAAATAGGAGCCATCCTAATGGATGTGAGGTGGTATCTCGTGTTTTTGGTTTGTATTTCTCCAGTGATTAGCGATGTTAGGCATCTTCCCATATGCTTATCGGCCATGTGCATATCTTCTTTGAGGAAATGTCTATTCACATCCTTTGCTCATGTTTGACTTGGGTTGTTTACTTTTTGTTGTTGAGTTTAGGAGTTCTCTCTCTATTCTGGATGTTAAGCGCTTATCAGATATATGGCTTGCAAATATGATCTCCCATCCTATGGATTGTGTTTTACTCTGTTGATAATGTCTTTTCAGGCACAAACATTTGAAATATTCATGAAGTCCAATGTGTGAATATTTTGGCTCTATGGCCTGTGCTGGGGGGGTGGGGGTCACATCCATTAAATCATTGCCAAATCCTACTTTGTGAAGCTGTGGAAGATGAATACAGTTAAGCTCCAATTCCAGAGATAAAAAAGGTTTGGTTGGCGAAGACAGCTGCTGAACTCTAGAAGCAATGGCATGATGATGGGGCCATGATGATAAGTGACGGCATGATAGGAATATTGGGAGTGGGCAAGCATGAGATGTGCACAAAGAATGGTACCTACTCCATTTTGTCCACTGCCTACTTGGATGATGGGAGCAGCGAGAAATATGGCTGGACTTGTCCCCAAGGTCAGTCCTTCTTCAAAGTTAGCCATTATTTCACTCTGATTCCATTAATGTTATTCTGAAGCCCATGCGGGGGCCAAATCTTGCATGCTGTATGGTGATGAATAGAGTGTGGGGTGACATCTGTCTCCAAAGAACTCATAATCCCTCTCATCTTGGTATAGCCAGAGTCTGGAGTCAATTTCAAGGGTTTAGAGTGACTGGAGAAGACCAAGGTCAAACCCAAGGAGAGAACTGTGTGTTATTCACATGCTGAGCTGGACTCAGGTGAGACCTTTAAACGTTTGCTTTGTGTCCTCAGGTCATTTCCATTGAGTTCTGCATGTTCCTATATGGGAGAGAGGACCTGGACATTTAGAAGGTGAGCTGGAGAGCTACATTGCCTGCAAGAATGAGACGGGGAGCTTGACTGCAGTCATCCTGCAGGTGAAAGAACTGATCAATGTCATCAACAGTAAAATCATCCCTCCACCGCTGTTCCTGCCACCTGTGTGGGAAAATTTTTAAAGAGGCACTTGTAAGTGGTGGCAGGTGCACACCTGTAGTAACTCTTGGTGCTGGTACTGATATTACCTGCTTGAGGTGACTCACCTTGCAGAAAAAATTTGTTGCATCCCTTTTATGGTGCCCAGGATTAACTGGAAGGTCAAGGGGTTGAAACTGAGGACATTTTCTAAAACCTGTTGAGGGCTGAACTGAAAAATGGCAAGGTGCTCTGAGAAATTCTGCATATTAAATAGGCAACTTTGTTTCATTGCTGTGGGAAGAAAATAAATTATCCTGTATTTTCCACATTGGAGAAAATAAGCCACTGAACCTTGACTTTTCTTTAAGATGATATGATAAGAGTTTTTATGTCTTTCAAATTTTGACTGAAAGCCTCTTTTCCTTGAAAATGAAACATTCAAATGATTGCCCGTTGACCTGGGAGGGAGGAGAATTCACGCTTCCTCAGTGAGCAAGGAACCTGAAGCAGGTGTCAGGAAAACTTCATCTACGTCATTGTTCTAACACCCTCACTATGCCTCAGGTTACCAATCTGTAAAATAGTGATAGATAGGGATGCTAAATATTTTCCAAGAGCTCTTGCAGCTCTGACTTTAATGGGTAAATGACCAAATATTGCTTAATCCATGAAACAAGTGATATATGAGCTAATAAATTCTTTTTCTGTTTAAGCCAGCTGAGTACATTTTTGTGTCACTTGCAACTAGAAGCACTCCAACTGACAAGAGGAATCAGTGAACATTAAATCCCATCCTCCTTTCCTGGAGGCCCCAGTGGAAACACAAGATTGTCTTGGGGCACAATTGGTTTCAAGAAGTGGAAACCCATCCAAGCTGGTAAACATAAAGGAGTATTTGTTACAAACGTGCAGCGCTGTCTCCAGAACCCAAGGGAGCACGAAATAGGGGTGAGATCCATGCAGAAACAGCATCAGGCACTTAGAAGGCAATTAATAAATACCTGTTGATGTCAATGGAATGCTCAATTAACTGGAATTGATGCTCCATCTGGAACTGAGATACTCCCTCAAACCCTCTGGAGCCATTTGCATTCTCATCTCTGATTCTCCCCGCATATTAGCTCCGCTCTTCTGCTCTGTTTGCTCATCAGTACCCACTACCCCAAACTAGCCACTCATATTTCTTAACCTGCCAGTGACCTTAAAAGCTCCACCAACTGATGGCTTTCTTAGCATTGCCATTAAACAATTTTCTTGAGCAAGTGAATCTGGTTGGCTCATCTGCAGTCAGGTAACCACTCCTGATCCAATCAGTGGAGACATCTGCCAAAAGAGGAAGCATGAGTTGGCATGCAAGCTCCCAGGATGGGAGCTCAGGTTAGCCTTGGGGAGACAAGAAGCGCCACCACTACCAGCCCCCACCTTACCTAGACACAGACCAATGACACTGAGTGTTAACTATTCCTTTATTATGTGGTGTGGGTGGTTGGGGCTGTACAATGCAAGGCCTGGGAATTTAGCTACACAGGGATGGTGACCAGAAGCCATATTACAAAAATAGCCTAAAAATACTTCTATTCTGCCATGGGGCTGGACCAGAGGAGTACAAGGAGGAGGGGGTGCCACCCACGCAGCTCCTTGCCTTCCTACATTTCTGTATTTACAGGGAGACAAAGTGGAATGCACACATATCCCCTGGTCCTCATGTTCCCACCGGCTGCCCCCCTAGTTCCCAAAGGGAGGAAGCCCAGGCTCTAGGGTTGGGAGGGCCTGGGTGTGGGCTCTCTGGGCCAGAAGGGCCCTTCTCCCAGCAAAGCTATAGAACAAGTTCCACCTGGAATGCAATGAAGTGAGGGAGGTGGGGGGGAGGCTCCCAAGTCTCGCCCGACCCCTGGCCCTGGAGGGTATGCCTACTTGGTACATACCAGGGTTGTGTACTCAGTACACAGGATCCCGGTCTGTCTGTGTACTTGGTACACAGAATCCAGCTTGGCCGAAGGGGCCCACAGACTCAGCCCCACGGGGGCACTGGGGGGAAGGCAGGGAGGAGGGAGCATCTCCATATATATATTTTGTAAAAAATAACAATAATAATAAGTTCGTTTAAATGAATTTGTTTCTATACAAAACGTAAAAAAAATAATAATAATCCACTCGTGTCAGAGCGTGAACAGTGAGAAAGGCCAGAGGAAGTGAGAAAGGAAGAAGGGGGTGGGCGAGGGCGGGGCAGGAGGAGGCCTCAGACACCACAAGACCCAGAGGGTGGGATCAGCCTGCACCCCTATAAATAAAAGAAGACTGAACCCCTAGGCTGGTGACCTATCTGGGTCACACTGCAAGGGGAGTGGGGTGCAGGAGGGCTGGTGGAGAGAGGAGATAATGAGAAGGACTGAAAGGAAAGAGGGGAGAGAGAGAGAGTCAGGATGGGGTGTCTCTTCAGCCCCCCGAAATCCAGGAACTGAGGAGAGTCTCAGGCCAACACCTGCCTCTTGGGGGTGACTTCCCGCTGGGGCCCCAGCTGGGTCTGGGCCTGAGCTAGGGGGCCAGGGACGGACAGGGCCAGTGGCTGGGCAGGCAGTGCTCCAGTGGCTGTGGCCATGGACCCGGTGGCAGTGGCTGGGCTGGGTGTGGAGTCGGACCAGTCCGAGAGGGAGGGAGGCGAGGGGCTGGCCCAGTGCTCGGGGGACTCGGGGGATGGGGTCAGGTAAGGGTGCTCGCTGGGGACCCGCAGGAAGCGGGCCTTGGGGGGGCTGCCATGGGCCCCGGCGGCCGGGTACTCCTCGCCATGTCCCGGGGCTGCCAGGTATGGCGGGGGCCGCTCCTGCGGGGACACAGGGGGCCCGGGGTTCAGCAGCTGGGGTCCCGGGGCCAGCGGCAGCAGGAAGGAGGGGCCTGGTGGGGCAGGCGGGGGCAGCCGGGCCCAGTCGAGGGGAACAGCCACGGGGTTCAGCAGCCCCAGGCTAAGCACGCAGCCCCCGGGGGGCTGGCGCCCAAGACCCGCCCGGCCCGCGCCTCCCAGCGGCGCCAGAGAGACGGCCGTGGCAGCAGCCGCCGTGTAGGGCCCCTCGAGGGGGAAGCCGCCTGGCGACGCGGGGGGCCCCCCGAAGGGCCGCGGGGAGTCCAGCGAGTCCACGGGCGAGAGCGTGACCGAGCTCTCGGCCAGGGGGCCCGGGCAGGCCAGCGTCAGCTTCTTGCCCCGGCCCCGGGCGCCCTGCGGTCCCAGCCCCGCCTTGCCAGGCGGCCTCCGGCTCTTCTTGCCCCCTGCCTGCGCCACCTTGAGGCCCGGGAGGAAAGCCCCAGGCGGGCAGAGCAGGGGTCCCAGGCCGTGGGGGCCGGGGGGACTGTGGGGCCCACTAGGCTGGTCCAGCAGGCGCACGATGTCCTGGTGCAGCCGCTCCTGGGCCACGTCTCGTGGCAGCCTGTCCAGGTGATCGGTGATCTCACGGTTGGCGAAGTGGTCCAGCAGCAGCTTGGCAGCCTCGTAGCTGCCCTCCCGGGCGGCCAGGAACAGAGGGGTCTCCTCCTGGGGGAGGTCCAGAACCCACAAGGTGTCAGGGTCACAAGAGCCAGGATCAGCTCCCAGCCAACATCAGCAAGGCTCCCAGCTTCTGGAAAAGCCTAAGAGCTAAGAGTTGGACTTCTCCAGCCCCACAGACCTAGGTTCAAATCCCAGCTCTGGGCAAGTTGTTTCCTTTCAACCATATTCATCAAGTACCTACAAAGCACCAGGCCTTAGGGCCAGGACTAAGGTGAGGAAAGTGAGGCACAAAATTTAAGAGGGTGTCAAAAACCTCAGTTATCAAAATAAATGATATTTTAGTGTCACGTTTTTTAAAAAGTTAAGATTAATGCAAAAAAATCCATAATGACTAAAATACGGAAATTTTAAATAAGGACAGAATTGGCCCCTGTATCCCTCTGAGCCTCACTCTTCCCATCTGCAAAATGAAGACAGAGGTACCACCTCACAAGGGTTTTTAAACAAGGATCATATTATCTTTTATTGAGGATCTGCTAAGCACTTTACAAAAGCATTAGCTCACTGAATCCTCAAAGAGGCAATGAGATGGGTACTGTTGCTTCTGCACTTCACAGATGAGGACACTGAGGTTCAGAGGAGTGAAGCAACTTGCCAAAGGTCACACAGCAACTGCCGCACACTTCCTCGCCCGATCTATTGTTGGAACCTTTTGGGCCCAAATCCCACCCCTGAAAGCTGGTTGCAGGCAGAGTGAATGCCCCCACTAGCCCACCCCACCCTGCTCTCTGCCACCTGTGGAGTGCTGTGCCAGGGCTGACCCCCAGGTGGGCCAAGGGCTGGGGCTCACCTTGCTATCCTGCATGTCCTTGTTGGCTCCATTTTTGAGCAGGGCCAAGGTGGCCTCCACGTTGTTGACAGCTGCGGCCCAGTGTAAGGCTGATTTCCCTGGCAGGAGAGGGGAGAGGTCAGGGTCAGGACCAGGCTCATGTCCTGGCTCCCCATGGCAGGGAAGCAAGAAGTGCCTGAGATGTGGCCTGCGGGAGGCGCAGAGCTTCCATGAGTATCTGTGCTCCTGTGTTTGGGGGGGTGTGTGTGTGCAGACTTGCAGAATGACTCTCCCTGTCCAAGGGCACCACTGTGCATGGGTGGGCACACCAGTAGATGTGGCTCTTCATACCCGGAGGGCATGGTGACAGCCTTGCTCGGCTATACCTATAGCTATGCTGTCCAGTGCAGCAGCGACCAGTCACATGTGGCTCTTTAGATTTAAAGTAATTAAAATTAAATAAAATAGGTGCCAAGACTATTCAATGGGGAAAGGATAGTTTTCTTAACAAAACTGGGACAACTGGATCTCCACATGCAAAAAAATGAAGTTGGACCCCTACCTCACACCATATACAAAAAATACCTCAAAATGAATCAAAGGTCTAAATGTAAAAGCTCAAACTATAAAACATTTAGAAGAAAATATAGGGGTAAATCTTCATGACATTGAATTAGACAAACAATTCTTAGATATGACACTGAAAACGCAAACAACAGTACAATGACAAAAACATAAATAAATTGGATGTCATCAACATTAAAACTTTTGTGGTTCTCTGGACACCATCAAGAAAATGAAAAGAAAATCTACAAAATGGGAGAAATGTTTATAAGCCTATATCTGATAAAAGACTCATGCCTAGAATACATAAAAAACTCTTATAAATCAATAACAAAAAGACAAGCAACCCACTTTAAAAATGCACAAAGGATCTGAATAGATATTTCTCCAAAGTAGATAGGCAAATGGCCACTAAGTACATGAAAAGATGCTCAACGTAATTAGCCATCAGGGAAATACAAATCAAAACTACAATGAGATAACACTTCACACCCACTAGGGTGGTTATAACAAAAAGACAGACAATAACAAGTGTTGGTGAGGATGTGGAGAACTCTCACACACTGCTGGTGGGAATGTAAAATGGGGCAGCCGCTTTGGAAAACAGTCTGGCCATTCCTCAAAAGGTTAAACAGAGTTAGCATATGACCCAGCAATTTCACTCCTAGGAATATACCTAAGAGAAATGAAAACATATGTCCACATAAAAGCATGTACACAAATGTTCATAACAGCATTATTCATAACAGCCAAAAAGTAGAAAAAACCCAAATGTCCATCAATGGGTGAATAAACAAAATGTGTATATATATAATGGAATATTATTTGGTCATAAAAAATTAAAAATAAATTAAAAGTCCTGATACATACTACAACATTCGTGAACCTTGAAAACACTGTGCTAAGTGAAAGAAGCCAGTCAAAAAAGACCATATATTGTACGATTCCATTTATATGAAATGTCCAGAACAGGAAAATGCATAGAGACAGAAAGTAGATTAGTGGTTGGCAGGGGCTGGGAAGATGAGGGAATTGGGAAGTGACAGCTAAGAAGTGAGGGTTTCGTTTTCAGCTGATGAAAATGCTCTAAAATTTTTTGTGATGACAGTTGCACAACTACGTGATCATAATAAAACCCATTAGATTTTATACCTTAAACGGGTGAATTGCATGGTATGTGAATTATATCTACATAAAGCTTTTTAAAAAAAAAGCAAGCAAAACAAAGGTTAAAAAATTAAATGAAATAAAACATTAAGTTCTTCATACACCCCCAACCACATTTCAAGTGCTCAATAGCGACCACATGTGTCCAGTGGCTATCATATTGGAGAGCACAGACAGAATATTTCCATCATCACAGAGGGAAACACATCTGACACATCCCCCCCGCCAAGGGCATTTGGCAATGTCTGGAGACATTTTTGGTTGTCACAGCTGGAGAGAAGCGTGCTACTGGCATCTAGTGGGTGAAGGCCAGGGACACTGCTTAACATCCTACACAGCACAGGACGGCCCCCAGCACAAAGAATGATCCACCCCCAAGTGTCAGTGCTGCTGAGGTTGAGAACACCTGCTCCAAAGGATGTTTATGAGCATCTGAGTGTGTCTACAGCTGTGTGAGGTCCTCTGGACACGAGAGCAGGGTGCTGTGAATATGCACAAGTCGAGCCATGTGCAAGCAAGCACCTCCGCAGAGGGAATCGCCATCACATACAGATTTGGCCGATATGCAAATTTATTATACCAGCTGTCCAGCAGATGGCAGCAGAGTAAGTTCTTCTAACAAAGCAAAGGGAAATGCAGCGTCTTGGGGAAGGGCGCCTTTTTCTAAATCACTGAGGCACCTATGGGCTAGCAGCAGCCATAAAAAAAAAATGCATTAAGAGTGTAAGTCTGTTTTGAAACACTGTTATGTGTGTATGAGCTTCAGTGACTGGGTCTCAGTGTGGGTTTGAGTTCACACCAAAAAGATAGTCAGAGCCCAGGTGACACCGTCTCAGCCCCCACCCATGGCTACTTCCCCCGAGCCTACCAAGCTCGTCCACAGCGTTGACATCAGCGTGGCTGGCGATGAGCTCCTCCACCATGCCCTCCACCGCCAAGCGGGCTGCCAGGATCAGTGCTGTGGAGCCGTCCATCATGCGGGCATCCAGGTCTGTGGAGCGGTTCCGGATGAGAATCTAAGGGAAGGGGGGGAGTAGGAGTCATGGCAGGAACAGGGGACCAGGAGCACCTCTAAGCCTTGAGGTCCCCAACCCCCACGTCCCCTGAAATCAATGAGGTTCAGGGAGCAGCTACTTGCTAGACATCCTACTCCTGTATATCCCATTCTACAAATGAGGAAAATGAGCTCTGGGAGGCAGAACTGGACCTCAAACCCAGATCTGTCTGATGCCCGTCCAGCTCTGAAGTCCAAAGGGGCAGGCCCATCTCACCTGGAAGACACCCTGGGCATCGGCAGTGACAGCTGTGTGCAGGGGGGTGCGGCCCGAGTGGTCCTGGGCATTGGTGTCCGCCCCAGCATCCAGCAGCCGCTTGGCCGCATCAGCCCGGGCATAGCGGGCGGCCAAGTGCAGGGCCGTCTCGCCCGTGCGGTCAGTCCGCGCCCCAAGCTGGGCCCCCTGGCAGATCAGGTCTGAGATGATGCTGGCTGACGTATCTTCTGCCTCATCCTCCTCAGTCGGCATCGGCTCCAGTGCGCCCCCACAGAAGGAGGCCAGCATTAGCGGGGTGAAGCCATCTGCAGGGGATGGGAGTGTGTCACAAGGGAGGTGGGCACAGGGGCCTTTCCAGGGAATACTACTGAGGGCACTGCATTAGGAGGAAGTGGGACACACAGGGCACAGAGGGAGTGGCAAATCTTCCTGTCTGCAGATATGCACGCACGCACGTGCACACACCCATACACGCACACGTCGGTGCCACGTGCCCCAGAAGCCAACCCAGGATGAGGATTCGCCGGCATGTGATCTGTCACAGATGGGCGCCTAGGCAGCGGGGGACAAAGGCCAAGGGAGGGAGGAAGTCAAACAAGCACGCAACCTCAGGCAAATTCCCCCAGAGTCATGTCAGCCTGATCCCAAGGGGCACTCTGGAGGCTGAGTGGTACCTCAGAGTTGTCATCCAGCTTGAGGCAAAGGAGCTGTGCCTTTCACACTGCGCACCCACTGGTTTAGAGCCACCCCCAGGACATAAAACCCCAGGTACCTCAGGCCGCCCTAGCCTGAGGAACTCAAAAGGGAGCCCTGGGCGCACAAAGGAACTGAGGGAGGAATACCCCTAAATGCGGCAAAGAGGGATCCAGGAGGATCCAGGTCATGTGGTCTGCCACCCTCTGCATGCACATGCCCTGGTTTCCCACAGGGAGCCACTTGCACCCCATTCTCCAGCCTCAAGACCTGGGTAGAGCTAAAGCCCCTCCCTCAGGGACAGGCATGTGGCCCAGGCCTGGGCAATCTGCATATTTTAGCCCCCAGGCCACACTGATTGGTTCAGGGATGGGCATGTGACCCTAGCCCGCCCAATCAGAACTTATCCTGGTGCAGCTGGGAAAAGGCTTTGTAAGGCTGGTCCCGCCTGTGGTCATCATGCCCCCAGGAGAAAGCCTGCTTGGGCTGGAGCCAAGAGGTGGTGAGTCCTGGATCCAAATGTGCCTGCCGCTTCCAGTTACAAGGGCCAATAAATCTTTTGCTTTACGTAAGCTAGTTTGAGTTGGGCTATTATCACTTACAATTAACAGTCCTGATTAACAGCCCCCTCAACAGACAGACACCCAGACACATACAGCTCTCACCAGAACACAGACCCAGATGCAACCCTGCAAGACCAAGACAGGTAAGGGGCATCCTGGGGTGGGGGGTGGGGGGTGCCATCACTGACCTGGGCCACGCACATTGACATCCATGCCATCAGCATCCGCGTCACCCTGCGGTGGTGTCAACGCCATGGCTGGTGCCACGCGGATGTCAGCAGCAACCAGGTGGTGTTGAGTCCACTGGCGGCAATCCACAGCATCTTCAGCCCCCACGCCAGGCTCCTCCACCTGGTGCACAAGGACCCGGGTTCTCACAAGGAGTCAGCAGACAGACAGCTAGAGGGATGGTCCAGGCATCCCCACAGTCTTCTCTCACAGAGACGCAAACCCAGCCTGAGAGAAAGCATGACCATCCTGCTTCTTTTATAGCTAAGGAAATAGGAAGTTGAGTGCTGGGGCTCAGAGAACTCCTAAAAGGAAGAACTGGGATTTTAATCCGGGTTGGAAGGGGAGGGGGTTGGGAACCCAGGGTGAGTAATCAAGGAAGAGACACACTGCACAGCACCCATCAGTACACACCTGTCTATACACCAGACACGGACACACTGAAATGAAACTGAGAGAACAACTCTACTGACAACAGCATCAAGAATTAACTCTTTAGAATTAAATTTAACAGAAGAAATGCAAGACTTGTATTCTGGAAACTACAAATCACTGGTAAAAGAAATGTGGGGGCAGGAGGGTCCTTCACAGATCAGCATTAATCTGGGAAAGGGTGAACAGGTGGGAGCGAACGAGAGAAGTGGGGAGATGCCCTGGATACCACGTAGGGCTCCCACCCGGTCCCTCGAACAGGAACGTGAGGTCTCAGAATCAAAGAGCCACACACAAATGTATAGATTTAGCTTTGCAAACACAGCACTCGGGCCCTGAGCAGGAGCTGGATAAATTTCAGACTCATGGTCTGAAAGGCATGAGTGATGCTACGGAAACAGAACAGGATATTCTTAACTAGCCTGACAGAGCATTTAAGAGCCTTCCGGCACCTAACACAGAGCCTGATCAAGCCAGACCTGAGCTTACACCCTGTGGGGAGTTGAATTTCAGGAAAGGGGAGAGCCAGGTGATGGAGAGCTAACCAGAAAGGGTCAGGGAGGACAAGACAACATTTGATGAGGTTCCAGTTCTTATACTGTCACCTAGCAGGTTGTGAGCCTGCGCAAATCACATTAGGGCTCTGAGCTTCTCATTAGCAAAATCAGGATGACACTGTCGTTCTGCAAAGCTAAAATGCCGCCAAAAACACACTGCCCTGTCTACTTAATACCTGCTTTGGGATGAGAAAGAAAAAAAATATCCTGGGGTGATCAGGTATCTTCAGCCATCAATTATAATAGCTGTCTCCATTTCACAAACACTAACACACAGGCGGGGAGAAGCAGCTGGTAACTGAGGTGCGTACCGACAGCTACTGCACGGAGTCCCCATAAAGAGGACATTAGATGCTTCATGTGTCTTCAAGACACTTGGCGAATGTCGAAGTAATGCTAGCAGGAGGCCGTTATGGCCCAGCCCTCAAAAGTCAGATGCTGAAGCCCTAAACGCTAGTGTGACTATATGTGGAGACGGGGCCTTTAAGGAGATAATTAAGGTTAAACGAGGTCATAAGGGTGAAGCCCTGATTCAATAAGACTGATGTCTTTATAAGAGGAAAAGAGACCAGAGCTCACTCGCTCTCTGCCACATGAGGACACAGCGAGGCGGTGACCCTCTGCAAGCCAAGAAAAGAGCCCTCACCCAGAACCAGCCCTGCCAGCACCTCAGTCTTGGACTTCCAGCCTCCAGAACTGTGAGAAAATAAATGACTGCTGTTCAAGCCACTCTGTCTGTGGTGTTTTGTCATGGAGCCCAAGCTAAGACAGAGCCCACGGGTGTGGCCCCGGGAGAGGAAACGGTGCTTGGAACCAGCCAGGAGCACTCTCAGGCTGGGCAAGCTGGACAAAGCTGGACCCAGCAGAGAGAACACAGAGTTGCTGTCTGGGCCAGGGGGTCCCCTCCAGGAAGACCCCAGGCAGGCCTGGCAGCAGGGGCCTGGTTAGAGAGGAGCAGGATGGGGTGGGTGCTCTCCAGAGCTGGGGAGAGCAGAGACTTCCCCTGGGCTCTCCCACTGACCACTGGGGCCTCCACCCAGGACCCCAAGGGCAGGGATCAGAGGAGGGGCACCACCTTCAGTCGCTTGGCCTCCGGGCACTCTGTGTCCATCCAGTCTGTGGCCGCCTCCCCCATCAGACTCTCGCCCTTGGCCATGTTCCTGTGGGGACAATGGGAGTGGGGAGGGGAGAGGAGACAATGAAGACACACAACCTGGGAGGAGGATTCACGTGGGGTCAGAGCAGAGGGGTCTGGAGCTGGGATCCGGGGTCCTAGGTCAGGAGACACAGAGGGAAGGGTCGACATACTGGGTCCACTGTGAGGATGCAGCACGGAGTCTAGGTCATGGGCGTACAGTCAGGGGTTATGATGGGTGACGGCCAGGGCCTTAAGGTGGAATCAGAGGGGGGACAAGAGTGGGATCAGGGGTCAGAGCAGCTGGCTACAGGATGGGTGAAGGTCACAAGCATTCAGCAGGGTTATAGAAGATGATGTGAGGGGTCATGGAGAATGGAATTAGCATCATAACAGGTAAGAGATGTAGCCAGGATAAGTGTGTTGAGGAGTCAGGAGGTCCTAGGATCACAGGAGGGGGTAAATTCAGGGGTTAGGCTAGGGTGGGGTTGAGGGTCTTGAGGGACGGGTCAAGCAGTTGGAGGTGAGGCCCAGGGCCAAGGCTGGGATTGAGGATCATGGGAAATGGACACTGAACTGGGGTGGAAAGGGGGTCAGAGGTGAGGTCAAAGGTCAGGGTGAATTAAAGCCTGCTAGAGGTGGTATTGAGGGTCATAGAGGATAGAGTCAGGGGGTCAATGAGGGGTTGGGGTGCAGACAGGGGTCATGGGGTCAGCAGTCATGTGGGAACGAATGCTGAGAATTGGGGTGAAGTCTGTGAGGCTGGGGTCAGGGTGGGGTCAGGGTGGGGTCAGGGTGGGATTGAGTCAGGGGAACTGGGACGTAGGAAATAGGGTCAGGGGAACGAATCAGGAGCAATCCCCAGGAATCATGGAGTCAGTGAAGGGCATGAACACTGGGGTGGAGTCTGCAGTTAGGGTCAGGGTGGGTCAGAGTCAGGTCAAGGAGGCCTCAAGCGCTCACCAAGCCCCGCAGTTGGGGAACGGGGGAGGGCAGGATCCTCACCTCATGCCCAACGCATCTTGGCCCACGGGTTCCCGCCGGCCCTTGTGGCCAGCGGCCACCTCCTTGTGCAGCGCAAAGCCCTCGGGGAACCAGAGAGTGCTGTGTTCCCGCTTGCGCCGGGCCACCATGACGCCCAGAACCAGGACGACCAGCAGGAAGACAGCGCTCGCAGCCAGCAGGGGCAGCAGCGGCATGCTCGGCTCCGGCAGCTCCAGCGGCTCCCCTGCAGGCAGGAAGCAGGGGCTTCAACCACAGCCCCCACCCGGGAGCCCCAGCTCCGCCCTGAGCCTGGCGGGCCTCACCCCGCGCCGCCCGCAGCGGGTACGGAAAGTCCAGGCGCTCCACAGCTGACAACGCTCCCAGGTAGTCGGCCGCACTCTGGGCGTCGGGGAAGCAGTGGTCATTCTCGGGCGACTGCAGGCACAGCCGGTTGTCAATCTCCAGCATCACCACAGAGCTGCAGGGACAGGCGGGATCAAGAGAGCACCTGCTGCAAGCCTGGCACCAAACCCCATCCCCCTCCCCAGCGCCAGGCTCACTCAGCATGTCGTCACAGCCCACCTGCCTCCCATCTGGCATCCAACCCCCCACACCCCCACAGCCAGTGTCCCCAAGTCATGAACCCGATGGGCATCGTTTTTGTGTCGACGTGTCTAGTGGATGCCGTTGGTGCACATCCAGATCTCCTTCATCCAGCTGGTGCATCCATCTCCCTAACAGCTGACAGCTGCCCCTTCTCCAGAGAACTGGCCTCAGCAAAATGGGCACCCTTCACTCAGGAGGTGACACCTCTCAGGGCCGCCCTCAGCCAGTGACTGGCTGATGTGGTGTGCACAAAAGCTGGCCCTCTCGTCTCAAGGTGGGACAGATTCTGAGTTGCTATTCATGCTCCAGAGCCCTCCAAGTGATTGGGCTGAGGCCAGACCCCAGCTGAGACCACCTCCTGCCTTAGTTTCTCCCCTGCCCACCCTGCTTCCCTCGTTCCCTCTCTCCTGAGAGCACCCCCTCAATACATCGCATATATCTGAATCCCCATCTCAGGCTCTGCTTCCAGGAACCCAACCCTCTAAACTCTCTCTTGCTTTGGGGATCCCCATTACCCCACACCCCGGTTCTCCTATCTCTCTGGCTGCTGCTTCTCCTTCTCTTTTCTGAGCTAATAAGCCCCAAAGTGACCCCTGTTTTTCACCCTGTGTCCTCATCTTGATGAGACTCCCTCCAGTGACTCGGTCACCCCAGCCAGGGACTGGCCCATCAGCCACCCCCTCCAACTCCCCCATCCCAGGGTACCCAGAGTCCCCACCCCCACCTCTACAATCCCGCCCTCCTCTCTGTCAGGGCTCCACCCTGCTCAGAGGCCACACCTCCCTCCTGCCCCTCTACCAGGCCACCAGCCAAAGAATTCTATAATTTCTCTTTCTACAAAAAACAACTACCCATGCCCTAACCACTCTGCCAGACTCTTGCCCCTCTAGAAGGAGGCAGCGCTGGGCCTGGGGCCAGTCTGCTCCCCAGAGGACTCCTGCCACGTCTGGGGGCACTTTTGGTTGTCACCTCTTGGAATGCAGGGAGGGGTGCTACTTGCATCTAGGGGGTGGAGGCCAGAGATGCTCCTGAGCATCCTACAGTGCAAAGGACGGCCCTACAGCAAAAAATGACCTGGCCCCAAATGTCAATGGTGCCAAGGTTGAGACGTGCTGGACATATTGCCCAGGAGCCTCTCCAAGATATTAGGGGGAGTGAAACACACAAGGCCTGACCCACGATGCCCCTCCCGACACCTCTCCCGCCCCGCTCAGGGCCTGCGCAGCTCCCACGGCTCCCTGGGGTGCGGCTGCTCACCCGATCACCTCCGGGGCCAGCTCCCGCCGGTTCCGGGATTTGGAACCAGGACCAGGCCGGTGGTAAGGGAAGACCATGGCCTGGCCATTCTCATCCAGGCGGAAGCGCAGCGAGGTGCGCAGGATGCCGCTGAGCCGCTGCAGGAAGTCGGCGCTGGAGCGCAGCAGTTCCTCAGGCGGCAGCAGTACCGTGAGCACCAGCACACCGCGGGCCAGCAGGGCTGGCACCTCACCGGCACAGTCCAGCCCATCCCAGCCACACTCCTCCGTGTTGCAACCCTGGTCACAGCGGCCGTCGGCAAAGTGGTCCGCGCAATACTTCTCGTACACCGGGCTGGGGGTGGAGAGGGCCAGTCAGGGGGCCTCCGACCCGCTGCACACACACCACAGAGCACCCACTCCGGATACAGAGGGGCAGACAGCGCAAGCAGAGAACTATACGTATCCACGCGTCCGGCTTTCTGCAAACCCAGCCATGTGCTCAGTAACTACGAATAAATCAGTGACTATGGACAGATGCCTGCCATGTGTTGGGCACTGCTGTAGGCACTGAGGATATGACCCAGACACAATCCTGGCCATGCCGAGCAGGGATTCCAGTGGGCAGAGATGAATGAGCAGAATGTATAGCATTTCAGTTACACATCGATAAAAGCTACATGTTAACACACACACATTACACACACAGTGCTGTATGGAAGTAAATGCTAAGGAGAAAAATAAAACCAGGGAAGTGCTGGGAGTGGCCAGCGAGGAGCTCACTGAGAAAGTGCTGCTATTTGAGCAAAGACTTGAAGGAGGTGAGGGAGGAGCCATGTAGTTTCCTGAGGGAAAAGCATGACAGACAGAAGGAACAGCCAGTGCAAAGGCCCTGAGGTGCGACCAAGCCTGGGGTATCTGAGAAACAGCAGAGAGGGCAGGGTGGCTGGAGCTGAGTGAGCGAGGGGGGTGGGGAGGATAGGAAGATGAAGGTGAGGGAAGGGTTCTAGGCAGACAAAGGGACACACAGAGGGCCAGAAGGGGCAGAGCACAGGATGGACAGATGGAATACATGGGACAGACAGACTGGGCTCATGAATAGAGAGGGGCAGAAGAGGAGCAGGAATACAGAGGCTGGGGCCTGGTCAGATGGATGGGCATAGAGAGAGGCAAAAAAGGTGAGTGCATGGACAGAAAGACAGACACAAGAGTCACATGGATGAGCAGGTGGGGCACAAAGATGGACAAATGGACAGGTAGATGGGGCACACAGAGGGACAGACTGGCATACAGACAAATAGACAGATGGACAGATGAGGTCCAGGAATAAGCAGGGTGCAGACAGTTGGGTGCACAGAGGGAGGAAAGGAATTCATGGATGGATAGAAAGAGACAAACAGGGCCCAGAGAGGAACAGGTGGAACGCATAGGCAGACAGAAAAACAGACAGGCGGGGCAGATGAATGGACAGGACACAAGGATAGACAAGACACACGGGTAGACAGACAGACAGACAGAAGAGGCATGCGGATGAGCAGACGAAGTGCACAGACAGACAAACACAGCACTGGATGTGCAGACAGGGTACGCCAAGAGACAGACGGGCAAACGAGTGGACAGTCCACCAGACAATCCAAGGGCGGACTGACAGACAAGGCACGTGGACGGACACGTAGAGTGGCGGGGCCCACGGGCGGTCAGCCGCGGCACACGGAGACCGACGGACGGCTCACTTGCAGGCGCGCTCCCGGCCGCCGGCGCGGCAGTCGAAGTTGTCGTAGAGGCAGGCGGGCGAGCTGCAGGCCGGGTCGCAGCGGCTGTTGTTGAAGAGGCGCCAGCACTGCAGCGCCGCGCACTGCCGCCAGGGGTCGCCCACGCTCAGCGAGCAGTCGCCGCCGTCCCAGCCGCAGCCCGGGCTGTTGCACTCGCGGTCGCAGCGCCGATCCCCGCTCTTGGCCTCGCAGGCGGCGCTCAGGCACCGCGGCTCCTCGGGGGCCTCGGGCGCCGCCGCCGGGACCTCGCAGCGTGACCCAGCCCAGCCCGCCGCGCACGCGCAGCGGTAGAACGGCGCGAGCGGCGCGGGGTGGCAAGAGCCCCCGTGGAGGCAGGGGGAGGCCGCACAGCTGGCGTTGGCGGCCCCCGGCGGCGACCCCCGGGAGCCCCGGCACGCGGGCCCCGACAACCCCGGGGGACAGGCGCAGCGCGGCCCTCGGACCGTCTGCTGGCACCGGACGCCCTCCGGGCACTGCAGCTCCCGGCAGGAGCGCGCCACCCGCTCGCAGCGCAGACCCCAGAATGGCTGGCGGTCCAGAGGGGAGAGGAAAGAAAAGTGCCAAAAGTGCCAGATCGGAGTGAAGGGGAGGAGGGAAGAGGGGGAGGGTGGGAGAGACATGGAAGTGTGGGGAAGAGAACGGAGAGAGGGGGAGGAGAGCGGGTCAGGACTTGCGATCGGCTGGGCCTCCCATCTCCCCAGGTCTTGCCTCACCTCTCCCGCTTCCACTGGAGCCCGACTTTGCAGATAATCCCCGCCTTCCCCAGAGGCCACACCTCCAGACCCCAGCCTCACGCACACACCCCCAACCTCCAGGTAATTTCAACATTTCCAGGAAATCCCCTTCGCTTTCACCTCTTCTCCCCTTAAATGCACGCTCTCCCACGAGGCCACACTCCCACCCTGCTCTAAGAGACCCTGATGTGACCGGCTGCCCCCACCTACCGGGACACAGTGGCAGGTGAAGGTCAGCGCACCCCCATGCCCGGGACTAGAACGGCACTGGCCTCCATGCTGGCATGGCTGGGATTCGCAGGGAGACAGGACAGTCTGACAGCGGAGACCTGGACAAGCAGCAGCCGGTGGATCAGCCATGATGGGGGGCACAGGCAGGATCCCAGGCCAGCCCCCTATCCCATGCTTACCTGTGAAGCCAGCTCGGCAAAGACAGTGGAAGCCCCCACCTGGGTCCTGCAGGCAGTCCCGGGTGTGTGCCGCGTGGCAGGCGCTGGGGCGACACTCATTGATGTCTGCCTCGCAGCGCAGGCCAGTGTAACCCGGGGGACAGGTGCAGCGGAAGCCGCCCACCAGGTCCACGCAGGTACCATTGTGCAGGCACCGGGGGCCCAGGGCCAGGGGTGGGCCTGGGCCACAGTCGTCCTCATTAATCTCACAGAGCACGCCTGGGGGAAGAGAGGAGGGGGGAGCAGTCAGGAGGGGGCAGAGACCCAGCCTCCCATCCTGTCCCCCAACCCTGGTCCTGGCATACCCAGCGTCCCCGGGGGGCAGGAGCAGAGATAGCGGGCCACAAGGTCAATGCAGGAGCCCCCGTGCTGGCAGGGCTGGGAGGCACACTCATCCACATCATCCTCACAGATGTCACCAGCGTAGCCAGCCGGACACTGTGGTGGGGGTGAGACAGGGACCCACTCAGCCCAGAGGGACATAGATACTCCCCATGAAGACACAGGGAATCCCAGCACAAAAGGACACACACAGTTGTCCACCACAACAGAAACACACACACAGTACAAGAGGACACTCCCAGACATGGAGAGCTACAGACACACACATACATACAGATGCACAGGAGAAACACCCAGATACACTCAAGACACACGCAACCAGAGACACACACTTAGACACTGGCACATGCATTCACACCCAAAGAGCCACCATGCACAGAGAGACACATAGATACACCCAGGAAACAACCAAAGACAGAGGAACACCCAAACAGGCAGAAACACCCCCAGATCTACCCGGAGTGACACCCACAAACATATACCCAGAGCCACAAAAGCAAAAGCCCAGACATGCCTAGAGAGAGACACACCCACACAAGGCTGCAGACACACAAAAATGTGTGCCCAGACACATCCGGGCGTGACTAGCTCCCCTCTCCCCTCCTCTGGGCACCTCTTACCTCGCACACATAGCCCCCCATGTAGCCGCGGCAGGTGCCCCCATGCTGGCAGGGCTGGGCCAAGCAGGGGTCCACCTCCTGCTCACAGTGGCTGCCTGTGCGGCCCTCTGGGCACATGCAGTAGTGGGAGCTGTCCTTGTCCACACACTGCCCCCCAGCCTGACACAGCTGCTCCAGCCGCACCCCTGTGCAGAGACAAGCAGGGTCAGGCACACACTCCCCCTCCCTGCTGGCATTACCCACAGCACCACCCAACATCCCTGCTGGCATCAGTCACCAGGGTCTCACCCACACTCCATCAGATTGTCACACATTCCCCCCAAACAGGCACCATCTCAGTCACTCACACACACACACACACACACACACAAACACCTTGGCTGCTCACACGAGCTCAATTACACACAGCATTGTAGATGTCACCCCAGCCGTCTCATGGTGTACAGATGCACACACCATCCTGGCCCTGGCTGGCTGTCACCCAACCACACAACACTCAGCCACCCACCCCATCATGCCTGTATGCTGTCGCACCCTCATTCGGCTCACACTAGCAGGAAGGATGTGCACAGACACCCTCCAGCACCCCACACACCCGGCCACTGCACTCCCCTCACCGATCTGGGCTGCAGCCTCCCTGCAGGGCAGGCTCTGGATGTCACAGAGGCGGCCGCTCCACCCCGGGGTACAAAGGCAGTAGAAGGAGGCCCCGGTCCGGGCACAGTGACCCCCGTTCTGACAGGGCACACGGCGGCACCAGTCTACCAGCGTCTGGAGGGGAAGCCCTCAGCATCAGTGCTCCGGGACCCCCTAGAAACTGTGCCCCAGCTTCTCCTCCAGGGTCCTGGGTAGGCCCCAGAATACCACTCCAGGATCCTCCCCCAGGATCCCGAGCAGACCCCTCACCACCGGCCCCCTGCAAACCGCTGCCCAGGATCCGAGGCAGGCCCCTCCCCCAGCACATCCCTTCAGACTCCTCCCCCAGGACCCCAGTGGCCACGCCCACCTGGCACTGAGCGCCAGTGAAGCCCTCGGGGCAGGTGCAGCGGAAGCCAGGGTGGGCTGCAGTGCAGACGCCCCCATGCAGGCAGGGTCGCGAGAGGCAGGGGTCGGCCTCATGTTGGCAGTGTGCGCCAGTGTAGCCGGGGCGGCACAGACAGCTGAACGACTTCACGCCATCCACACAGGTCCCACCATTGAAGCAGGAGCTGGAGGGGATGCGAGGGGTGGGTCAGGACCCGGCCTCCCTCCCTGGCCCCTCCTAGCGTTGAGTGGAGGCACTCTGACCCCTACCCCCACCAGAAGCCACAGCCCCAGCAGAGGCCACACCCCATCATGTCCCTTAGCCCGGATTTACCAGGAACTTCAGCGCTAAGGTGGGAGCCACTGCAGGCCCCACCCTGGGCTCACCCCCTCAGGGACCAGCATTCCTCAGGTGACCTCCAAACGGATGCCCTGCCCCTTCCTGGACACTGCTCCATCAGGGATCAGAGTCCTGAGGTGGGTGCCAAGCCGAGGACACCCCCCTTCTTGTCCCCACACCTTCTGAGGCCCTGCGTCCCATCTGATGCCAGGGTCCCTGAGCTCCCAATAGAGGACCCACCCACCTGGGGCTGCAGTCAGGTAGGTCCTGCTCACAGAGGAAGCCTCCATAACCAGGTGGGCAAGTGCAGGTGAAGGAGGCCACGTGGTCGGTGCAGGTGCCTGGGCCACAGGGGCTGCTCAGACACTCATCCACATCATGGGCGCAGCGGGGACCAGTGAAGCCAGGGAGGCAGGAGCACGAGAAGGAGCCAACACCATCCTGACACGAGCCACCATTCAGGCAGGGATCTGCAGTCAGAAGAGGGGAGGCCTAGTCACTTGCCTCGCCCGCCATCAGCCCTGCCTGACCCTCCATGCTTGCAAGAAGGGAATCAGAAGGAAACCAGCCTTCAATGGGAGGGCACATTGGGTCAGAAGGATCCAGTTCTGTCCTCTTCTGTGGCCTCATCCCCTCCTTGTCTGGAAGCTTCACCTATGTGGAAGCAAGAGGGCACTGGGGGGTCAAACGGGCCCTCTAAGCAGCCAAGCACGTGCTGCTTGCTGTGTCCTCAGCACAGGAGGCCTCCTCCAGACCTGTGCTGACCAGCAGAGCGGCCACTGGCCACAGGTGGCTACTGAGCCCTTGACGTGGCTGGTCCAAATTGAGACGTGCTGTAAGTGTTAAATACACATGGCATTTCGGATGTTGAAGACAGTATGAAAAAAAGTAAAATATCTTGATATTTTTTATACTGATTACATGTTGAAATATTGATAATATCAATATTGATATTGATAATGTTGATAATATTTTTATATATTATGCTAAATAAAATATATTATTAAACTTAATATCATCTGGGGTTATTGTTTGCCTTTTTATTTATTTATTTATTTATTTATTTATTTATTTATTTATTTAGTGAGGAGATCAGCCCTGTGCTAACATCTGCCAATCCTCCTCTTTTTTTGCTGAGGAAGACTGGCCCTGGGTTAACATCTGTGCCCATCTTCCTCCACTTTACATGGGACGCCACCTCAGCATGGCTTGCCAAGCAGTGCGTCGCTGCGCGCCCGGGATCCAAACTGGCGAACCCCAGGCCGCCGCAGCGGGGCGTGCGCATTTAACCGCTTGCGCCACCAGGCCGGCCCCTTTTTTTGCTTTTTTAATATGGCTATTAGAAACATTTTAATTGCATATGTGGCTTGCATTATTTGTCTATCAGACAGCACTCCTGGAGAACTCACTGGGGGCCTATGATCTCATACTTTACACACAGTCCTAACCTGCTTGCTGCCAGAGGCAGTCTACGGGCTTCAGAGTCAGACCAGCGAAGCCAGGGAGGCAGGAGCATGAAAAGGAGCCAATGCAGCAGACCTGTGCTCCGATCCCAGCTCATCCCCCTAACTTGCTGCGTGACTGTAGGCAAGTCACCTAACCTCCTTGGGGCCTCAGTTTTCATGAGTAAAATGGGGAAATTAGGAGAACTGTGAAGATGAAATGAAAGCACAGTGTGGGCACATGGTACGGGCTTGATGAACATACTCCCTAGGGCAGCACCCCCCCATGAGCTCCACTGAACTCACTGGGGTCACAGTCATCGATGTCCTGATCACAGGAAGGGCCACTATACCCCCCGTGGCAGGTACAGCTGAAACTTCCCGCCAGGTTGCTGCAGGTACCATGGGGGCCACAGGGTGAGAGGCCGGCACACTCGTCCACATCCTGCTGGCATCGTGGGCCTGGGGGTGGGGAGTAAGGTGAATCTAGAGTGAGAGGGTGCAGGGTAGGGTCTCAGGAAGAACCTGCAGGCTGAGGTAAGTGAATGCAGAACAAGCTGTGCTGTGATTTGCCCCTGGGCGTTTCATACATCCTGTCTCAGAACTGCCTGCTCCTTGTTTCAGTGGGTGGTGATGCCTTCTCTGATTGAAGTCTACTCCCCCAGGAAGCTGTCCCCAAACGCTCAGCCTGAGTCCTAGCTTCTCCATCCCCATATCCTTTCCTCTACTCCAAAACTGACCACATGGGCTGCGAGCATCTGTGTCCAACGCTGTCCCTTCCTAGAAGGATGCCCGCCTAAAAGGCAAGGCCAGGGGTGAGTCCCCCACTGGGTTCCCAGCATCACTCAGTATGGGGTAGGGTCCAGAGGTGAAGAGAGGAGGAGGAGGAAGAAGCAGCTGGTGTACCTTGCCAGCCAGGGGGGCAGGAGCAGACAGCCAGCTGGCCAGGGGCAGACTCACAGTGGCCCCCATGCTCACAGGGGTTCGGGGCACATGGGGACAGCAGCTCACACTGACGGCCTGTGGTGGGCAAGCAAAGTGAGATAGTCTTGAGAGATTCCTTGTTCCCATCTCCCCCCCCAGGGTCCCCATCTTGATACCCATCTCCCAAGCTCCTGGGGAGAAAGAGGAAAAGAAAAAAAGGCAAATTCAGAGGAGGAAGAGAGAGTGGAACAGAAGGGAAATGAGAAGGAAGAAGTGGGGAGGTGGGTCCTGGAAGGGAAGGTGGGGACACACACCCTGGACACCAGGGGGACAGGAGCAGTGAAAGCCCATTCCATCACTGGAGCAGGTGCCGCCGGCCCGGCAGGGCTGGGATTCACAGTCATCTTGAGCGAGGCTCTGGCTGCACCGGGGTCCACTCCAGCCAGGTTCACACACGCAGCGGAACCTGGAGGTGGAGGCAGTCAGGGCCAGCACGTGGGCAGGGAGGCAGTGGGGGATCAGGGGTTGGGGAGAGGCCTCACCCTCCTGGTGCATCGTGGCAGACACCGTGACTGCAGGGTTCTTGGGCACAGGGATGGCTGGGGGGGAGGCAGAGTGGGGGCAAGGATCCAGGTGGGCAGAGGCAGCGGAAACCGTTTTCCCCGTCCATGCAGGAGCCTCCCTCGCCACACGGGCTGGACGCACACTCGTTGATCTCCACGTTGCAAAGGGGCCCTGGGGAGTATGCAGGCAACCTCGTCCCAGGACAAAGACAGCCGAGCCAACCAGGGAGGGATAACCTTGCCCCATTTAGCATGGCCACCCTCTTGAGCAAGGACAATCGCATTCTCATAATGCACCAGCTCTAGTGCAAATCAGGACAGCCATCTCCTCAACCCAGAGCTGCCCTACCACATCATCCCTGTCCCCAAACTTACATGAAGTCACTTTCATTTCCACCAAGGATTACCTTGGCTCCACTCAGAAACACCCCTCTCCCTGAGTCTGGACACTCATCTATGGTCCCGGATAACCTTGAGCCCATATGAGGACACCTCATGCCAATGAGAGAGAGCACAACCTCAGGGCTACCTGTACACAGTCTCATTTGACAAGTGTGTGCAAGGAGAGGGGCAAAATTCAGCCAAGAAAGATGGGTGACTTCACTCTCACCCCATAAAGACCCCCTTTCCGTGGCAGCCGCTTGCCCACCTGTGAAGCCAGGTTGGCAGACACAGTCGTAGCGGTTGATGCCGTCACGGCAGATCCCAAAGGTGCAGGGGTTGCTGGCACAATCATCGATGTTCACCTCGCAGTTCACACCTGGGGAAAGGGAACAGAGCAGTGGTAGCCACCACTGTGCCCCACCAGGGACATCATTCCCAGCCCTCTGTGCCCCTCCAGATGTACTGTTCCTGCCCCAGCTCAGCCCTTGGCCCCACCTGTGGTGCCAGGAGGGCAGCGGCAGAGGTATTTGTCCACGAGGTCTAGGCATTTGCCCCCGTGGCGGCAGGGCTGGCTGCGGCACTCGTCCACCTGGCTCTCACAGCGCGTGCCCGTGTAGCCCGGTGCACAGGCGCACGAGAAGCTGGCGATGCCGTCCATGCAGCGCCCGTGGTGGCACGGGTCGGGCGAGCAGTCATCCACGTTGAGCTCACACAGCGTGCCCTCAAAGCCTGCGGGGCCAGAGGGTCAGCCTCCGTCCACTTGCCCAGGTCCTGCCCACAGCCGTGGCCTCGGCCCAATCCTGCCTCAGCTCTATCTCAGGCCCTGCCCACCGAGCCAACAGGAGGCGGGCTCAGTTCAGGCCCTGCCCCTAGCTGGCCTCCACTCCATCCAGCTACAAGCCCAGGACTCGCTCCTTCCATAGTTAAATCCCACCCCAGCGTGACCTGGCTTCCAATCCTTACACTATCAGGATTTCCTGTTCTGGAAATGGTGACACGCGGGAGGTGCCTGGGGATAGAAGGAGTTGGACCCACCCCCTCCAGCTACTAGTGCCCTGCATCCTGCGAGACCCCCTCAGCCCCACCCCTAGCCTTACCTCTGCTTAAGTCTATCATTGGCTCCGCCCCCTGGTACTATAATTGGCCCTGCCCTGGTCCTGCCTTGCTGCAGCCCCGCCCCCAACACCAGCCCAAGGCTGTTATTGGCCCTCTCCCCTACTAGCCCCGCCTCCAGATTCTTGCCGGCCTGTCATTGGCTGGCCCTCACCCTCTGCGCAGCGGCACTCGTAGCCATCGGGCTGGTCCACGCATTTGGCTCCATTCCGGCAGGGTGTGCTCGCGCACTCGTCCACATCCAGCTGACACATGGCCCCGCTGAAGCCTGGGTGGGGAGTGGAATGAGCAGAGGCCCAGATAGGGTCAGAGAGCAGTCACCCCTCACCAGCCCTACTTTGTTTGGGTGGGAAGCCCATTTACTTAGTTTTAAATTAATTTCAATGTTTTTCTTAACATGCGGTTTCTCTTACAACAGTTATCCATTAGCATGGTCTTATAGGCCCAGAGCCTCTAAGAGCCTTTGCTCCTGCAGCGACCCGTCTTCTTCAGGCTCCCTGGCCTAGGGTCCTCACCTGAGGGGCAGGTGCAGCTGAAGCCGTTGACTCTGTCCTTGCAGACCCCGCCATTGACACACGGGCTGCTCTGACACTCGTCCATGTCCACCTCGCAATAGGTGCCCGTGAAGCCTGGGGGGCGAGGGAGGGGAATTAGGGCAGTGGGGGTCGCCTCTGGTCTGAAGAGAGAGCAAGGTCCTTCCCTTCCCACTCATAGACAGTTCCCCTGAGCCTTGGCCTTACCCCCAGCCCAACCCTCGATTCAGTTTTCGGTGTAGGCTGGACCCTCACCCAGCTGTGGTCCCAACCGGTCCAAGGCTTATGGGACTCCATATGGGCCTTGCCTTCAGACCAGCGCCTTCCCTCTCACTGTGCCCTGTCCCCAGCTCCCAGCCCCAGGGCCCACCATAGCCTAGTGCCCAGACTCAATCCCACCCCAGCATTAGGGCCAGACTGTCTGCAGGGGCCACCTCGACCTGGTCCCGCCCTCATATTGTCCTGGCCCCCCCAGTGGGTCTTAAGGCCCAGACTCCACTCCCAGCCAATCTGAGGTTCTACTGACTCCATTTGACCACGCCCTCAGCCTCCCACAAAGATTCTGTTCTGGCCCCGCCTCCACCTCCTCTAGGGCTTCTGTCTCTCAGGGTCCCACTGCAAATGCAGTTCCACCCTTGTTCACTGCACCCACCCCACCCCCCGCCCGCCTCAAGCCACGCCCACCACGCACCTGCCATGCAGATACAGGTGAATTGGCCTATGCGGTCGAGACACGTGGCCTGGTTGCGGCAGGGCCCGGACAGGCACTCGTTGACGTCGGTCTCGCAGCGCGGGCCAGTGTAGCCACGGCCACACTGGCACAGGAATGAACCCTGTGTGTTCACGCACCGGCCCAGGTGCTCACAAGGGTTGGCACCTGCAGGAGTAGGCACAGGCGGTGTAAGTACGGTTGGCTGAGGGCCCGCCTCTCCCCTCCTTCCCAAACCTAGGACAGCGTCCCCACCAATGGAGCACTCATCCACATCCTGGTCACACGCCCCGCCCGTGAAGCCAGGTGGACAGGTGCAGATGGCCCGGCCGTTCACTGGGTTCGTGTCACAGATAGCATCCTCGTGACAGGGGTTGCTGACACAGGCGTCATCCAGATGACACAGAAGCCCTGGGAAAGGGTAGCCAGAGGTCAAGGATGGACCCTCCAGCTGGGCCCAAGTCTCACACCGCTGGCTATTGTTTCCTGTTTTGTTTTTATTAACTTGCAGTGTATTTAGTAGCTATTTTCACCCAATCATTTATTAGGAAAAATTTCAAACATACAGAAAAGTTGATTCATACACCCACCACCTAGATTTAACTATTGTAAGCTTTATCTACCTTTTTTTCTGAACCATTTGAAAATGAGTTGGAGACATCTACATATTGTTTTTAAATCTGTTGATTCTTTCTGATTATAAAAGGGTCCTACCCTCAAACCTTTGCTTCTGCGGTATCTTCTCCCTGACATGCCCTTCTCTCTATCTCTAAGATCCCCTCCCAAACACCTTCTCTCACCTTTGCCACTTCCAAAGGTCCTCTCTCTTTCTCAGTCACAGTATAGCTCTCCATTCCCATGGCTCCTGCCCTGGACTGTGTGCCAGCCTCCTCCCAGGCTTATCCTTCTCTCCAAATCCGGCCTCCAGCGTAATCATTCTAACACTCAAGTCAGACTCCATCCTTGCCCTCACTACAGATGGGCAACCATCAATTGCTCCCTGCTGCCTACAGGGAAAACAGCCACTCACCAGTCTTGCCCATGGGGCAGGCACAGTAGAAGGAGGCCACGCGGTCATGGCAGGTGGCCCCATGGAAGCACACGGCCGTGGCACAATCATCGATGTTTTGACTGCAGCTCTCGCCTGTCCAGCCATTGACACACACACAGCTGTGGCCACCAAGTGTGTTGAAGCAGGTGCCCCCGTTGTGGCAAGCATTGGGCTGCAGCTGACACTCGTCCACATCCTCCGTGCAGAATTGGCCTGTGGCACACAGATGCACCAGTCTAGCCACCTGGTGCGTGCCAACCCAAGGTCTGCCACCTGGCTCCCTTCAGCCCCAGTGCCCACCTGTCCACTCAGGAGGGCACTGGCAGTTGTAGGTGTTGACGCCGTCCACACATGTCCCTCCATTTAGACATCGGTGCCCTGGACAGTCGTCCACATTCACTTCGCAGTTCTGGCCCTCGAACCCTGGCATGGGAGGAGGAGGCAAGGATGGTCACTGCCAGGCTGGCCTGCTGTCCCCCCACCCCTGCTGCCTCCCCCAGGTGCAGCTTCCTCACCAGGAAGGCAGGCGCAGTCATAGGTGAGATCACCACTCTGTCTACAGGTACCCCCATTACGGCATGGTGAGGGAGCACAGGGCACTGCGGGGTTCTCACACAGTGGCCCTGTGTAGCCAGCTGGGCACTGGCAGTGGAAGGAGCCAGGCGTGTTGAGGCAGGTGCCACCGTGGTGGCAGGGCCCGCCCACCACCCGGCACTCATCCACATCGCTGCGGCAGCTGCGGCCCTGGTAGCCAGGTGGGCAGGAGCAGATGTAGCGGCCGTCGGGCCCCACTGAGCAGCGGCCACCATGGGCACAGGGGCTGCTGAGGCAGGGGTCTGGCAGGGAGCAGTCGGGGCCTGGAGTGACCAGGAGAGGGTGAGCTTGGGCTGACCACACCCTTGCCTGCCTCGAGCTCCCCTCCAGACCCTCCCTTACCTCGGAAGCCACGGGGGCAGCGGCAGGAGAACCTGGCAGTGCCTGCCACCACCGAGCTCTGGCAGACGCCCCGGCCAGCACAGGGGCCCGAATGGCAGGGGTCTTCCAGCTGGCATCGCTCACCCACCCAGCCTGGCAGGCACCTGTGGGCAGAGACAGCTCAGTGGGGGCAGTACAGGGCAGGACAGCCCCGGACACAGAGATACACATAAGACAGGCAAGAAACACAGGCAAACAACCCAAAAAACACACACACTCATTCATTCATGCAGTTAATATCCACTGTGCACCTACTGTGTTATTAGCAACAGGAAAGCAGCAGCAAACACAATAAAAGTGGTCCCCACCCTCTTGATGCTCACAGCCAGGTTGCGCAAAGAGAAGACATACAAATAATGAATTAATATACAACATGCCGCCACAGGGTGGTGAGGGCCATGAGCGCTATGAAGGCTACAGTGGGTTGAATGGTGGCTCCAGAGAAGAAAGGTCCATGTCCCAGAACCTGTGACTGTGACCCTATTTGGAAAAAGGGTCTTTGCAGAGGTAACTAAGTGACAGCTATCAAGAGGAAATCATCCTGGATTTTCCAGGTGGGCCCTAAATCCAATGACAAGTGTCTTTATAAGAAAGTGGAGGGCCGGCTCCGTGGCTTGGCGGTTAGGTGCGCACGCTCTGATGCTGGCGGCCCGGGTTCGGATCCCGGGCACGCCCCAAGGCACCACTTCTCCGTCCAACCCGAGGCCGAGTCCCACGTACAGCAACTAGAAGGATGTGAACCTACGACATACAACTATCTACTGGGGCTTTGGGGGGAAAAAATGAATAAATAAAATCTTTAAAAAAAAAAAAAAAAAAGAAAGTGGAAGACAGAGATTTGGGAGAAAGAGGGCAAGGCCGTGCGAAGACAGAGGCAGAGACTGCAGTGTCGCACCCACAAGCCGCGGAATGCCTGCAGCTCCTAGAAAGTGGAAGAGGGCAGGAAGGCCTGTCCTCTGAAGTTGGAGAGAGCGTGGCTGCCGACACCTTGATTTCAGATTTCTGGCCTCCAGAACTGTGAGAATAAATTTCTGTTGTTTTAAACCATCCAGTTTTTGGAATTTGTAATGGCAGCCACAGGAAACTAAGACCCAGGATAAGGGGCATAGAGTGATGGGAGAAGGCAAATATTACATTTTCACAGACTGAAGAAGGTGAGGGAGCCATGGGGCTGTGTGGGGAAGAGCGTTCCAGGCAGAGGGAACAGCAAATGCAAAGTCTCAGGCTCCAGAAGACACACACAGGCAGTCCCCAAAACATACACAGATACACACCAACTCAACCTATTGCCCTGGCGAATACTCAGACACCAACTCACCCACGGATACGGGCAACTCTTACATGGACAGACAGGAGGACGCCCACAAATCCTCTACTCCTTCCCTGGGCGCCACATAACACTTCCTTCCATTGGGGGGAGGAGGTGGACGCCAGTGTGGGCGCCCTCTCTTGAGGGAAGGTCCTTCAGCCTGCAGCCCTCTCCCCAAATCCACCAAGTTAACCTTGAGTGTGAGGGAAATATGAGAACTGGGAAGGGGTTGTTGATTTTAAGCTGGAAACCTCCGCGGGACTCTGGCGGGGTTAGAGGGAGCGGCTTGGAGAGGCAGCAGGGTCCAGGCCCCGCCCCCGACGCTGCCAACACCTCGCGGGGGTCCCTCCCTCTGGGTTGTCCCAATCGCTTCAGGCTTAACTCAGGCAGCTGATTCAGTCCTTAGCGTCACCCACAAGATCCCCCCCACCAAACAGGTCGGGGCACGGCCGGGCGGGAGTGCAGGAGTGTAGGAAGGGAGGGCCTAACTCCCAGCCCCCTCCCCAAAGGCTCAAGGAAGGTCACCACGACTGTGCGCCGGGAGGGGGCGCACTGCGCCGGGCGCCAAGGACTGCCGGTCCCACCAGCTGGCTGGGCGCGACCGCGCGGCCCCCTCCCTGCGCCCCGGGCGGGTTCCCACGCTCTGCGCCCCGCGCCTCTGCCGACCGGTCGGGCCGGTTCCAGTCTCCGCCTGCGCCCTGCCCCACGGATTGGGCTTTGGGGGAGACCTACAGAGGCGGGGGGGAGCGGACTTGTTGGGGATTGGCGGGAGACGCGAGGATGGGAATCGAGACAAGGGCTTGGGAGCCTACTTTGAGGGGGAGACTTGGGGGATCCGTGGAAAGGTGAAAGATTGGGGCCTGAAAGGACACGAGTATCTGGGACCTTGAGAGAGCCTGGGGGGCCCCCGTGGGGAGTGGTTCCCACGGCCCAGTTCTGGGGACTGAACCCGCTCCACTCCGGGAGATCCGGGCTCCGGGCGCCGCGCGCGCCGGTGATTCACCTGTCAGGGGGCGGGGCAGCCGCGGGCGCTTTCACCTGTCGGCAGCATTCCGGGCGCGGAGCGCCACCGCGCAGGCCGGCGCCGGGCCCCGCGGCTCCGCCTCCCAGGGGAGTAGCTTCAGGTAAGGTCACACTTTCCCGCACCCCTACATCGCAGACTCGCAACCCAAGGAACCCGCTCAGCCAGGCTAAGCCCCCACCCAGGTGAGCCCAAGCGGGGCTCCAGTCAGAGTGTATGTGTAACTTCAAAGAGGTTCTCCTGAGTCTAAAAGTCACCCCAGACCCACCCAGCCTGGGCACACATGGTGTCGAATAAATGAATATATTAATGACTCAATCAATGGCTACTGGGTGAACTGCAATTACTGATGATATTATAATAAAAGGAACCAAGCATTTCCCTATAACCTTGAGAGGTTCCCCCTTATGGCATCTATTTCCTGTGTCTCTACCATTATTAATACTTATAATGATAATAATCCCTAGTTATTAAGCACTAACTGTATGCCGAGCACTATGCTGAATTCCTCATGTGAAGTCTTTACAACCAACCCCGGAAAGGAAGAACTATTATTGCCCCCATTTTCCAGATGCAAAAACTGAGGCTCAGAGAGCTCAAAGCACTTGCTCAAGGTATGCAGAGCCCAGAATTCTAACTGAGCTCTGTCTGCCTCTAATCAGCTCTTTCCCAGCCCCTGCCCTGCTTCCCCTAACCCTCTGCCTTTCCTTGTATTTTCCAACAACTGAATTCTTGGGCCCCTTCATGGTCACAAGCCAGGGGAAAGCACCCCTATTTCACAGATGCAGTGAGGTTCAGAGAGAAAAAGTGACTCACCTATGTTACACAGCAAGAAAGTGGCAGAGCAGGGCTGTCTTACAGTCCTCCTGTGCCCCCACCACTAAATCTTGAGGTATGGGAGGGGGCAGATGGTGTACCCACCACTGCCATTGGTCCCTGAAGATCTGTTGATTGAATAATAACTACCTCCATCAGAGGCTTTACACGTGACCTCAGGCAGCCAAGAACTCTGTGAAGCTGGGGTGAGTGGACCCATTTTCCAGACCAGGACATTGAGGTTTAAAGAGTTGAAGTCCCAGGCAGTTAGCAACATGATGTGGGATTTGAACCCAGGCCAAGCGGACTCCAGAGCCTCTGCTCTTAGCCCTGCTTGATTCCAGTGGGGAAATGAGAAGCTGCCCAAGCCACACACAGGCAGGAAGTGGCAGAGGCATCCATTGTGGACACAGAGGCAAGGGGAGAAGACAGACCTCCTCCCCACACAGGGCCCTCCGATGGCTCAGAGCCAGGCACTCACAGGCAGGCAGCCTCCCGGGAGGGCAGCTGGGTGCAGCGACCTCCATTCGCACATGGGCTTCCGTCCAGGCAAGGGGGAGCTGTGTGGGGGCGAAGGGAGGTGGGGGGGGTCAGGCAGGCGCCCAGGAACCCCAACCCGGAGTGATAGACTTCCTCCCTCCCAGCAACAGCTGCAACGGGCTGGGGGTGTCTCTGTGGGTGCGGGGAACCCCCCCACTCACAGTTCCCACGGCCCCCTGCCCCAGCCCCAGCTGTTGGGACTGCAGCTGTCCCTGCCAGCTCGGGCCCTGGGAACCAGAAGGCAGGGGCGGGCAGGAGGAGAGGCCAATGTGTGCCAGATGTGGGGGCTCAGGAAGCCGCCAGAATGAGGGTTGCTAAGGCAGGAAGTGAGGGGGCTGAGTGTTGAAGGGACGTCTGGGGTTGTGTGCCCCAATCCTGGGGTAATGGAAGGGGCAGGGGCAGGGAGTCCTAGGGCCATGGTCTTCTTTCCCCTGATGTTGGGCATTGACTCCAGTTGGGCAGGTCTGCATGACGGCTCTGGAGAGGGGCACAGCCAGCAGTGAGTGTCACAGGGATAGGCTGTGTGTGGAAGGGAGGGAGGGGCAGCTGGCACAAGATGTATGCTGCCCTGTCCAGCATCCCCATCCCTGAGGGCTGTGTCCCTCTGGGGTGTGGCACAGTCTAACTGTCCTGCTAGACAGGTCTGGGGCGTGGCTGGGTGTGAGCAAGTGAGAACTGTGTGTGCTGGCAGGTGGGGGGCCGCTGTGTGTGTGTGTGTGCGCGCGCATGTTAGAGAGAAAGACAGAAAGAGGGAGGGGGATGGAGAAAAACAGAGACAGACAGACATAAAAGAAAACTAGAAGCAGGCCAACACAGAGAGACGGAGATAGAGAAGAACAGAGGTAGAGAGAAAGGAAGAGAGAGGACAAGTTGGGCTGGACATGAGGACAAGCAAACATGACAATATCACCTGTGGGGGTTTGTGAATTCACACTGGGGACCATGTGACACAGCTGTGGGCTTCCTGAGCCATATGTGTGTCTGCATGACATGCGTGGGTGTACAGATACCTACGCCATATGTGTGCAGGCTGGATCTGCTGTGCATCCATGTATGTGACCCGTTTACCAGGGTATACAGCTGTGGGTCTGTGTGTTCAACCTGTGTGTGCACGGGTGTGTGTGTGTATGGGTTGGATGTGCCTGTCTGTCTTCATATGTGAGCTGAGTGTAGGCATGCCCTTGGATCTGTGTCTGAGTGTGTGCAGGCAGCACATGCAAGGCCTTGGGCTGATGATGCACAGTATGGGTGAACATATGTGATTGTATATGCACATATGCCAATGTGTGAGTTGTATGTCTTGTGTGAGCTGGGTGTGGAAGTCTACGGGTGTACTCTGTGTGTGTGCACGTCTACGTCTCTGTACGGGTGACCCAGGGCTGTGTGTGCCTGCTGTGTGTGACAGGCCACGTGTGTGCGCGTTGGCCCGCGGGGGCGGCCGCTCCTGCCTGGTCCTGTCCGTAGGGCCCCGGGGCTGGGCTGGGGAGGCCGGTCGCTCCCAGCGCCCAGCCCCACAGCAGCGCCCGGGGACCCCGGGGCAGGACTGCTCGGCTCGCGTCCCTCCTTCGCCGGCCAGGCCTCCCTCGGGGGTGCGCCCCTGCAGACCCCGCCCGGGCCCTGACGCCGGTCCGCTTTGTCTGGCAAAGAGAGCGCGAGGCCAGCCGGGGGGAGGGGGTGTCTAGACGGCGCGGCCATTGTCCCAGGCGGGGGAGGGGAAAGCGGGGAGGAGGAGGGGCGGGGGGCCCCAGGCGGATGGGGAGGGGCTCGGGCTGCTGGGAGGGAGGGCTGGAGCGGGAGAAGGGCACGTGGGCTCGCGCCCCCTGCCCTCCCTTCCCCTCCCAAGGCGAGGACGGGGTCCCGGGGCCGATCGCTCCCGGCGGCCAGAGGAGGGAGCGGGGCCGCGGGCGGGGGAAGGGGCGCCGGCGGCGCTGTGGCTTCAGCTCCTGCTCCGGCTCCGGGTCTTGCCGCGCTCCGGCCTGGGAAGTTTTCTCCGAGTTCAGGGCTCAAGGAACTTCGCGCCCCCTTCCCGCTCCCCGTCCCCCGCCCGGCCAAGCCAGCCCCGGGTGTGTGTGGGAGGGGCGCTTTTGTGCGAGGGGTCTCCGGCCTGGAGGTCCAATCGTGACTTCCCCAGAACTCCAGACGGGCGTAGATGGGGAGCGAGCCCCAGACTCTTGGTCCCCCCGACAATCTTGAGTCCCTGATCCCCGCACCTCGAACTCCCAGTCCCAGACTTCTGGTTGCCTTCATCCCCAACCTGACTGCTGCTGGGCCCCTGTTCCTGGGGCCTCTAGGGCCCTGCCCCCCCGAGTCCCTGCCTTCCCCAGGACTGGCACGCAGCCCCGGGCTCCTGCACTCCCTGCCCCTGCTCTGGTCCTTGGCTCCCAGGCGACCCCCACCCCCACCCCAGCCCCAGACTCGGCGGTCCTTGCACTCCGCTCTTACCCTCCCCCCACCCACCC